ACTTCTTCATCAAGACCCTGAACGAACGGTTTGAGGCTCTTCATGTTCCTGGAGCGAGCAGATGCCACTGGACTACACTAGTATGCGACAAGGACCAATGGAGAAGTTACTGGTGTCTGCTAGAGCAAAGCGATGAGTAACAGGATGTCAAGGAATTAAGTGATCAAGTTATCATTGGTAATATTTGTATCCTCTGAAGTGTCTTTGTAAATTATGGCCATCTTTTTTTCTAACTAAATTATTTGTCTTAACCATACTAACTCCTACTAGGTATTTCTTTTCTTGGATTCAATAGAAAGGTAGAATAACTCTTTTCTATAGGCTACTTCCCTTGATCTAGCCTCATTTCACAAAATTAACCAGTGATAATTATGGAAATTTTTTCTAAGACATCAAATACCCTTTCCTCCAGGAAAAAGGTCACTATTTTTTTATTTTTTATTTTATCACCATGAGATAGTTACAAGCTTTCATGTTTGGGTTACAATCACACAATGATCAAACAACCATCCCTCCACAAGTGCACATTTCCCACCACCAGTATTCTTGTTATTCCCCCCACTTCCCACCCTACCTCTGCATCCATGGCAGACATGATTCTCCATAATCTCTATCTACTTTTTGGCATTATGGTTTGCAATACAGACCCTAAAAGGTTATCATGTTTGGTCCTTTACCAACTTTCTGCACACATCTCCCATCCCGACCGATTCCTCCAGCGATCTTTTTCTTAGTGACCCCTTCTCTTTTCAAGCTGCCTTCTCCCCTTTGTTCATGAGGCAGGCTTCCAGCTATGGAGCAACCTATCTGTCCCATGTATATACCATCCTAAGTTGTCAGCCTAATGTTATGTTGTTTTATACTCCATAAATGAGTGCAATCCTTCTGTCTGTCCATCTCTTTCTGACTCATTTCACTTAGCATGATACTTTCCATATCTATCCATTCAAAAGCAAAGTTTATGACTTCGTCTCTCCTGACAGCTGGATAGTACTTCATTGTGTAAATGTACCAAAGTTTCTTTAACCAGTCATCTGTTCTAGGGCACTTGGGTTGTTTCCAGATTTTGGCTATTGTGAATAGTGCTGCAATTAATATAGAGGTAGAGATGTTATTTCTACTGTGCTTTTTGAATCCACGGGATATATTCACAGAAATGGTATTGCAGGGTTATTTGGAAGCTCAATTTCTAGTTTTTAAAGGACTGTCCATATTGTTTTCCAGAAAGGCTAGACCAGTCAGCATTCCCACCAACAGTGAAAGAGTGTCCCTTTTTCCCCACATCCATGCCAGCACTGCTTGCTTTTGTTCTTTTGCATGTATGCCAGTCTCTGTGGTGTGAGATGGATATCTCATTGTTGTTTTGATTTGCATCTCCCTGAAGGCTAGCTATGTGGAGTATTTTTTCATGTGCCTTTGGGCCATTTGTAGTTTTTTTGAGGAAACTTCTGTTCATTTCTTCCTCCCATTTTTTATGGGGTTGGAGCTTTTTTTCTTGTACAATTCTACTAGTGTCTTGTATATCCTGGATATTAATCCCTTATCAGATGGGTATTGGGTAAATATTATTTCCCATTCTGTAGGCTCTTTCTGTATTTTGGTCATTGTTTCTTTTGAAGTGCAGAAGCTTCTTAGTTTGATGTAGTGCCATTTGTTTATGTTTGTTTCCTCTTGCATGGTCAGTGCTATTTCATCCTTAAAGACGTATTTGGCTTCAATGTCATGGAGAGTTCTGCCTACATTTTTCACTATGTACCTTATGGATTCATTTCTGACATTGAGGTCTTTAATCCACTTTGATATTACTTTTGTGCCTGGCATTGGTCAGAGTTCATTTTTTTTGCAGGTAGCTATCCAGTTTCACCAGCACCACTTGTTGAAGAGACTTTCCTTGTTCCACTTCACATTTCTTGCTTCTTTGTCAAAAATTATGTGGTAATTTGGGGGTCTGTGACAGAATATTCAACTCTGTTCCATTGGTCTGCAGGTATGTTTCTAGCCCACTACCATAGTGTCTTAATTATTACTGCTTTATAATACAATTTGAAGTTGGAAAGGGTTATGCCACCCATCTTCTTTTACCCAAGGATTGCTTTAGCTATTTGTGGGGGTTTATTGTTCCATATGAATTTCAGGAGTGTTTTGTGTATTCTTTTGAAAAATTTCTTGGGTATCCTGAGAGGGACCGAATTGAATTTGTATAGTGTTTTGGGCAGTATTGTCATTTTTATAATGTTAATCCTCCCTACTCATGAGCAGGGGATCTGTCTCCGTTTCCTAGTGTCCTCTTTTATTTCTTGAAGCAGTGTTTTGTAATTTTCCTTGTATAGGTCCTTCACCTCTTTGGTTAAGCTGATTCCAAGGTACTGGATTTTCTGAGGTTACTGTTGTGAACAGGATTTCTTTTAACGTCTCTTTCTTCTCTTTCGTTATTTGTATATAAGGAAGCCATGTACTTTTGGGTGTTGATTTTGTCACCTGCCACTTTACTAAACTGACCTATTGTTTCTAGTAGCTTTTCTGTAGAATCTTTAGGGTTTTTAAGTATAGTATCATATCATCTGCAAATAGTGATAGCTTGACCTCTTCCTTTCCTATCTGTATTCCCTTGATACCTCTCTCTTGTATAACTGCAAAGGCCAGGACTTCCAATACTATATTGAATAGGAGTGGCGAAATTGGGGAACCAAAGGTCACTATTTTAAAGAAACAATATGAATCTGGGCTGGAGCAATAGCACAATGGGTAGGGCTAGGGTGTTTGTCTTGGCCGACCTGGCCGACCCAGATTCGATTCCTCCACTCCTCTCAGAGAGCCCGGCAAGCTACCAAGAGTATCTTACCTGCACGGCAAAACCTGATAAGCTACCCATGACATATTCGATATGCCAAACACGGAAACAAATCTCACAACAGAGACATTAGTGGGCCCACTCGAGCAAATCGATGAACAATGGGAGGACAGTGACAATGACAGTGAATATGAATCTATATTACATTTTCTTAAAACTTTAAAAAATTATAAATTAATAAATTGTATAGAATTTGGAATTTAGACTTAACTGAAGATTACTCTCTATTGTCTTTATACACTGCCAATCAGGGATAGCTCCAGCACCACAGTTGCTTCCTTGATTCATTCCAGGAATAATCCCTGAGTATCAAGTCAGTAGTAATTCCTGTGTATATCCAGGTGTGGCCTCCAGAAACAAAACAAAAAAAATCAAGTACTAATTAATATTTTATATATCAAATTATAACACTATCAAAGCACCTATTTCAATTTTATTAAACACAAGACTTACTGAACTTTGAAATACTTGTCTTTATTTTGATAAATAGAATATATGCACACATATAATAAGTATAGTGTTATATTATTTATAATATTCAATACTATCCAGAACCAGCCACAACCACGCTGAGATCACTCCACACGCATGAAGGTACCTGCAGAGGAACAAAGGCATGCGGGTCTCTGGGCTGAGATCTCTAAGCCTGCTGGGATCGGGGCTGAGCATTCTCCACCCAGATCCTCCATTTCCAGTAGGCAGGGATCACACCCACCAACTACACCCCTGGCGCCGTGTAATCCCATCAATAGCCAAGACCCAGAGACTATAAAACCCAGCTCCCAGAAGCGACATCTTATTATCTCATTCTTACTTTGGAAAACCTGGCAGTCTACTGAATGTAACCTGCCCCCACGGCAGAGTCTAGCAAACTCCGCATGGAGTACCCAATATGCCAAATACTAGTAACAATGATGGGTCTCATTCTCCTAACCCCGAAAGAGCCTGGAATGTGGCACTTTTTAAAATCTCAGGGCTAGGATGAAGGAGACGTTACTGGTGGCTGCTCAAGACAATCGATGAACAACAGGATGATTGTGATCGTGATTCAATACTATGCCAGCAAAAGGGTAAGTGTGATCTTTTATTTCAAATGTAAACTGTAAAACTGAGATCATCATGAATCTTGTTAAACCCATATGAATACCTATAGCAGGACACCCCATGTCCCAGATGCCAGGCTGTACCCGAAACTCACTTAGTCACCATGGGAGCTGTGAACTCAGGCTTAGTATAAGGAATTGCTCTGAAAGAATTGATTAAGCAGTCCTAATCTCTGTCCATGTTTTTTTTTTTTCAGGAACATCACTTTCCTTCGCAGAAAAGAATTTTAGGAGGAAATAAAACACTGAAGTAAAATAGATTTACTTCAGTGATTTATTTCAATGATTTATTTAAATCTTAAAATAGATTTATTTCAACCAACCATAAAACTCATTTCAATACCTTCTACTTCATGTGTTTGCTGGAAACATTCTCACTTTTCAGATATTTCATTCAATTTTTTAAAATAATAATGAGTGACTAAAAATTCAGTTATTTTTGAAATAATCTTTGAGTTCATAGATGAGTGTCCAGCTTCTACTGATAGATATTTCGTGATAGAAAAGAGTAAAGAGAGAGTAAACTATCATACTAACATAGTATGGATGGGGCCAATGAAATGTTTTACTTCTTTTTTTTATGTAGGAGTACTGCTATTTATTCAGCCACTGATTAGCTGATTGAATTGGGCATGAACTCCACCTTACTATTTTTTCCACCATTTTTTATAATTTTATTTATTGGATCACTGTGACAGTAGTTACAAAGCTTTGGGGTTTAAGTCTTGGTCATACAATGAAACACCCGTACCTTCACTTTTTTTTTTTTTTTATAAAAACGGTTTTTAATTTTATGTAAAATCAAGGTGGCCAATGCCCTGGGGACTGTAGAAAATCCAAGCAGACCAGCTGGGTTGAGGGGCATCGCATACCTTGGGGTGGGGGTCTGGGAGGGGACCCCTCCTCGGAGGCACTAAGGGGCAGGGCAGGGCCCCTGCTGCCCCCAGGGAGCCCGGGGGTGGCCACAGGCTGGGGGGGGGGGGCTGAGGCAAGCCCAGGCCCAGCGCTACCTCTTGACAGAATACACGGGAGGAGGGGCGGGTGGGGGGCGGGGAGAAGCACCAGGTCAGGCTGGGCCTGAGGGCCCAGACTTGGGGGTGCCAGCTGCCCCCTAGCAGCCCCCACAGCTCCTGGCACAGGAGGCAGACACCGACTGGCACATGCCACTGAGGGCCATGACTCCGCACTTGGAGAACTTGTCCCGGCAGAGGTCAGCTCGGAGCAGCTCCTCATGGGCGCAGACGGTGCGGACACAGATCTCCCTGTTGACCACATACACCCGGCGGAGGCTGTAGAAGCAGATCTCGTTGACGCACTGCTTGCAGGGCTTGTGAATGGAGTAGAGCCGAGTGCAGGGGTACTGTTCCTCACGGCAGTCTAGAGGCCCAGGCTCTGTGGGCTCCGTCTCTGGATTACCTGGTTCAGGGGTGGGGGCTGAAATGACCTCCTGCTGGACTTGCTGCTGAGACTGGAACTGCCTCTCGGGGGACCGGGAAGTCACCTCTGAAACTTGATAATCATAGTAGTCTGCAATGTCGATCTGTTCTCCGTACTGGTTGTACTGGATGTGGTCCGGGAATGGAGGCACTGGGTCCAGATCGTACTGGCCCTGAGCCAGCAGGCCGGGCAGGAGAAGCAGGCAGAGGCTTTCTCCACCCCCAAAAGCCCCAGTATACCCCCATCCCACATCCTCCCCCTGCCTGTGGGGCAGATGACTTCCACATTACTCTCTCTGTACTTTGATCACACCCAATATTTTGACACCAGACCAACCATATTATTTGGGATTTTACCCCAACACTCAGATCTGCCGAAAAGGCAACAGTTGACAATTTGTTTTCTATTGCTGGTTATAAATAACATATGATGTTGTGTGGCTGCAGTAGTGGATGCACAATTTTGAAATTCAGAAATTTTAACAATTAAATCTGGAGGGATTTCTGCCATAACCTGCTGGATTTCGAGATTTGTTCCTGCGTCTCTTGGATCATGGCCATTAAGCAGCTTGATCGGGAATCAGAAAGACTGTTTGTGGGTGGCAACTCATAGTCTCGTTGGGACGGGGAGGAAAGGGCCAGGTCCACCCCAATCCCGTGAGGTCCCACGTGTCTCATCACTGACCTGACTGTCCAATGACCTCTGGAGGATGGTGGCCACTGAGCTGCCTACGGGGAGCAGGTGGAGGGACAGCACCCTTTCCCCCCTGGAATAGCCCAATGACAGTAACCTACTGCGGGATCCAGACACATCTCTGCCAAATGCCACTGGGTTCAGAGATTTGTTTCTGAGTCTCTGGGATCATGGCCATTAAGCAGCTTGATCAGGAGCCAGTGAGGCTATTCGTGGGTGGCGACTCAAGGTCTCCTTGGGACGGGGAGAAAAGAGCCAGTTCCATCCCCATCCTGTGAGGCCCCGCATGTTTCGTCACTGTGGGCCCAAACCTGACTGTCCAGTGGCCTCTGGAGGATGATGGCCACAGGGCCACCAGGGGGAACAGGCCAAGGCATGCAACCTATTACCACCTAGGGGGCCCCAGAGCCTGCAACACACTGCAGGGACTGGACACAGTTCTGCCAAAAGCCATTGGGTTTCAAGATTTGTTTCTGAGTCTCTGGAATCATGGCCATTAGGAACCAATCAGGAACCAGAGAGGCCATGCCTCCAATTACATAGCTGAGCTGGAGGTGTTTGTCTCCCACATACCTAACTTTTGGCCGTTTTACTTTCTTGGTAAACTTTGCCCCAATGTTTTGGGGTCTGGCCAAAGGCACAGCAGCAAGTTTGGGGTACCTGGAAGTCTGAAGGCATAATCAGGCTTCTGATACACTTGCCTCACAGGTACAGAGTGACCCATTGGCGGCACCATACACCCTACTTTTTTTTTTTAAAGTTTCAGTCTAAAATAAAAATTAACCCAAATCCTATAATAACACCATTGTGAGATATGACAATTTTCACAAATTTTCTTTTCTTGAACTATATTTGTGATAATTCTAGTTATCATTTTTGTTGTAACAAGCAATATAAAATAAATTATTTGGTGTCTCCTATGGGGGAGGCTTTGGGGTGAGGAAAACTGGCAACAATGGTGGAAGAAGGTCAAATAGGTTGTAGGATCAGTGCTGGACCACTGATTGCCCAAAACTACTACCTTTACCTTTACTTTGTAAACCATAGTGTTTAAATAAAATTATAAAAATAACATAAAAGAATAACAAAGAACATCAGTAAACTTGGGAAGTCTGGGGAACTGTATTTAAACTTACCCGGCAGAGGAAAATGTATGTGTTGCTCACATGTACTCCAGAGGTAAGAACTTGCCCAGGCTGTGCTGTGTTGTCTCTTGAGTGCACATCTCTCTCATTTACTTCTTTTATTCACAAATAAAGTTGCTTTACTTTACTATTCATCAACTTCTGAAATTCTCTGCTGTGTGGGGAAGTGAAGGAACTTAAAAACTTGGGTAAGATTTAGGAGTGACTTTCCTTTTCTGCAGAGGACAGTTTCTAATTCTAGCCTGAGTTCCACAGTGCTCCAAGAAATAGAATGGCAGGTACCAATTATGACCGGTCAGCAAAAACTGAAACTCAGGCGTGGTTTGATTGATTTCCTCATGGGGTTGGAGATATGTAAGATCTGTACAGTGCAGATGCTCATATGAGATCAATATCTGTTGAGTTATAGTTCTAAGCATTTTAGGCTATACATTGAGTTTTCTTTCTCCTCCCATAGGAAGCTTAGTTTAATTGAATTTCATCCACTACAGTGCTCTTGAGGAACACCCAATTCCACCAGGGCAGTCCCAAAATGTGGGTTTATCCTTAACCTCGCCTTTGTATTCTTCTTCCGCCATCTGTTTAGTCACGAATATCTACAAATTAGACCTTATAAAGTCAAACCTTCCAAAGGCTCTGGATTTTGTATATTTAAATAAAATATAGATTTTTCTCTTTCCTCTATGTTCTTTGCATATTTTTATTCTATAGCAATGTCCTTTTTACATAGATACAGGAAGACAATTATGTCATGCTTTATTAATATGGGAGTCAATTGACTCCGAATAATATTTACTTCTGGGCATCCATCATATTTACTTGATTTAAGCCTCAGTTTCCCTTAGATTGACTTCAGTTCCTTACAACCCAAAAAGTGCATCCCACTGAGGGACTTAGGTGGACCCTTTGAAAAATTACCCTGGCTTCAACATGGCACAGTCTAAGAGCCATAAGAGGTATAATATGCTAAGAGTAGAGTCATGGAACAAACTGTAAGCTGGTCTAAGAACTGTAAAAATAAGGCAAGATGTACCCTGGAAAAACCACCCTTTACTATGAATGCAGTGAGACTATTAAAACTTAATCTAGGGTATGCACTCTTGCTGTGTTGATACAAAGTCACTAGAATTATTAAGAAATAAATTTAATATGATTGTTAAATGGATTACAAGCAAAGGACATGAAAAAGCAATATGACCTTGTACAGTATTCTGCCTGTGGGTGGATCTCCTAGAAGGAACCTAGAGTGCTGGAGATCCTAGATGATATTCTTTTTTGGGGGTGGATCCCCTAGAATTTCCCTTGAATAAGGAGGCTTATTTTCCATGTTAATCTTCAACCATGCCTACGTGTAACTGCTGCCCCTAAATCCTTCACAATTTCTCTATAATAATCCTGATGGAGTTGAATATATTTCTACTGAGCAGTCTGTGTACTCATATCTGTCATGGATTTTCCCAGGCAATTTCCCGAATAGCTGAGTTGCAGAGAGTAGGAGGGAAGCCATAGTTTCACTTCTTGAGGTTGCCAACACTTTTCCCCTACTTCACATAAGTGATCTGGGGAACCGCATTCCTTTTGGTAGGAGTCACACCTCCCTCCCACCGACATTATTACCCTTTAAGACAATGCTTTTCTCTATTTTGTGTAAAGACAGCTATAACTAATTTTATTGGGGTAATTCTATAGATAATTCTATTTCAGACTCTCAGCAAAAATATAATATTTTGGGACCGGAGTAATAGCACAGAAGATAGGTTGTTTGCCTTACACGCGGCCGACCCAGGTTCAATTCCCAGCATCCCATATGGTGCCCTGAGCACTGCCAGGGGTTAATTCCTGAGTGCATGAGCCAGGAGTAACCCCTGTGCATCACCTGGTATGACCCAAAAAGCACAATATATATATATGTATACATATTTCATATAATTGTCTAACATAGTTGACAACTTTAAAAAATTGGTTTTAGGGACATATCCAGCAGTACCCAGGGACTACTCCTAGCTGTGCATTCAGGGGTTCCACCTGGTGAGACTCAGGGGACCATATGAAGTGTTGGGGATCAAACTCGGATTGTCTGCTTGAAAGGCCTGTACCACACCCACTATACTATTCATCTACTCTGAAAGTTAATTTTTATAATTATTTATATTAAAAATCAAAGGTATAATTTGTAAATATAAAATTACCCCCATACCTTTCTTGGTTTCTTGTAATTCTTTATTTCTGGCCTGGTAATTTACTTATAGTTAAAAATGATTTGTTTTATAGACTATAGTTAAAAGAAAAATAAAATAAATATTTTTCAGTATTTAAGTTGAATGTTTCTGAACTAAGAATTCTATACATAGATATATAATGAGGCGTTTCCAGGGCTATGTTGGTAGCAGTCAAGCTTATATGTAGGTAGGTTAGCTATTTCCTCTCTTGGTAGGATAACATGTTAAAACAATAGTTAAAATAATAAAAGTTTGTCTTTGAAAGGTATAAGACAACTATAAACTTCTGTGATGGACATGATGATACATTTTGAACTAAAGGGGTCCAGTTAGGACAGCCAGACGCGGGTCCTAATAGGAGACTGCACTATTCTCTTCTGGGAGCTGGGTTTTATAGTCTCTGCGTCTTGGCCATTGATGGAACCAACCTGGTGCTGGCGGCAGCTGCTGGGTGTGATGTCTACCTACTGGTAGATGGGGAGTCTGGGTGGAGAAGGCCCAGTCTCAATCCGAGCAGACTTGGAGATCTCAGCCCCAGGAGAAAACTCAAGGGAAAATAAATTTAAATAAGAACTAAAGAATGATTCTATGTATACCAAGTTTTAGAATTGTCATAAATTACTTCTAATTGATAGAAATTTTGGGTGATGAAATAATCCATAAATACTTGTAATTTACCAAAATTGAAAATTCTATATGTATAAGAATTCTGAGAACCTAGAGAGAAACTACTTACTATTTTATCAGAAATTTGGAATTCTTCTTTCTGAATTCAGATATGTCAATAATATTCTTATAAGTACCAATGACAAAATAACCTATATATTTCCCTTACCCTTCTTACTTCCTTGTGCCAGCCAATCTTCTATACCAAAAATGATGATATTGATCACTCTGCAAAGGGTCAGATTAGCCTCTTTTGAGATTGTAAACCAGATTTCTTACAATAAGTCCGTCTTTGTAAGAGAAAGCATGTTCAGTAGAGTCTGAGAACAAATGGGGGGCTTGAAAAGAAATCTTTGCAATGCGATTATTTTAAACTAAGAATAATTAAGACCTAAAAGCTGGGATCAAGCTCTTGTTCTTGTTTCAGTCCTCTGGTATTTATATCAAAGCTTTATCCCTAATTTCCTATTTCACTACCTGGAAGAA